CAGAAGCGCTTAGGAACATCTACATAATTTATAACTCCCTGCAGGGTCGGCCCATCTAAATTATGTGGCTGATATGATGATTTGCAGCCCATCAAAGGAGGCTTGTAAAATTGGTACAATTTCGCTACTTAAACATTTGGCAGAGAACGGAAAAAGGCTTGCCTACGAAAAACTTAAATTTGCTCTAGAACAAGTGACTTATCTGGGACATGTGATCACAGCTGAGGGCAAAATCCCTCTCTCCCAAACGTATTGGGGCAATTCAATTGGTACCAAAAACAAAAAAAACAAAAAAAAAACGAATGATGAGTTTTTTGGGGATGACTCCGTACTGTAGACAGTGGATCCCTATTTATTCAGAAAGAGAGGCACCTCTCTCGTCCATGGTCCATGGTAAAGGCCTCAGCGCGCATGACAAACTGACTTGGACTACTGAAGCTGAAAAGGCTTTTCAGGACTTAAAGACTTCCTTATCACAGGCCCCGACTTTGGGCCTACCAAGACCCGACTTACCGTATACTCAGTTCATAGACCAGAAGGACTGCTACATGACATCCGTTTTGTGCCAGCCTCATGGAGGGAAACTTAGGCCGGTCGCCTACTTCTCCTCAAAACTTGACCCTGTTGCTTCGGGTCTTCCTCTCTGTTTGCGAGCAGTGGCAGCAGCCGAGAGAGCCATTTTAGCATCACGTGACATTGTGGGCTTCTGTGATGTCCCACTCATGGTCCCACTTACTGTCTCTCATATCTTGCATTTCCAGAAGACTTCTCACCTCTCTGCTCAGAGATGGTTCAGGTATCCTACAACTTAATGTAATTGTCAAACGATTCAATGTCCTTAACCCATCTACACTTCTTCCAACTGCAGATGACAGAGAGCTTCATGACTGTGTCGAAGTCTTGCAGCAGACATGCATACCAAGGCCTGATCTGTTGGACACACCTCTTCCCAATGCAGATCTTGAGCTGTTTGTAGACGGCTCCGCTTCTCGCTCACCAGACACGGGCAGCGGTCAGGTTGGGTTTTCAGTGGTTACATCACACAGCACACTTGTTAGTGGCAGGCTTCCTTCACACTTCTCAGCACAGGCGGTAGAGTTGATTGCACTTGCCGAGACATGTAAAGCAGCTGAAGGTAAAACAGTTAACATCTTCACTGATTCACGTTATTCTTCTGGTGCGGAGCTCTTTAGAGACACAGGGGGTTTCTTACGTCATCTGGCAAGCCTATTGCACATCATACCCTTGTGTTGGCTTTTCTGGATGCCATTTTACTACCCAGAGCCATTGCAGTCATTAAACGTGAAGCTCACACCTCTTCTCTTGACCCTGTATCTGTAGGAAACAGGGGCGCGGATGCGGCTGCGAAGAAGGCAGCCTCGCGGGGCTTCCTTTTCCCCCTGGCTCAAATGCTTTCCACACCGACCGATCCTAGTCCTTATGCCGATCTTTCAACACTTCGGCCTCTTGCCGGTGCACAGGAGCGTTCCCTGTGGAAACGATCTGGTGCCATTCTTGAGGGCGGAATCTGGACAGGGCCGGACAGTAGGCCCTGTTTGCCACGTGCTCTCTTCCACATTTATGCTAAGTTGTCTCACGGAAAAGATCACGTGGGCAAAGGGGGGATGTGCACTGCTATAAATGAGCATGCTGAGATATTGTGCTAACCTCTCCCCTTCACTCTCAGCACTGCACGAAGAGGTGAAAGCGGCGCTTCCATCCAGAGCTACAGCAATGCAGCACCACCTGAAACCAGGAGACTGGGTCCTCATTAAGGATCACTGGAGGAAGCACTGGAAGCAGAGACGCTACACGGGGCCCTTCCAAGTACTCCTGACCACGGAGACGGCAGTTAAGGTGGAAGGGAAAGCGACGTGGGTTCACGCCAGCCACTGCAAACGCATCCCGGATCCAGGAGGCGAAGGAGCACCTCCATCTGGTTCCGGTTAAGGGGTTGCAGGGTGGAGAGCCCTCCCCCACTGCAGTGTTCCAGGACACCGACGAGCCCGGTAGAGACGGCAGAGACAGCAAGGACGGCAGCCACCCGGAGAACAGCGATAAAAGACAGATCTCCAGCGCCAAAGAACACTTAGGAAGCATGGTTGGAGCCTGAGAATGAACATGTGTTTATCACTATCACTGGCCACATTTGTGCTGATCCCACTCACGATCAATGAGCTACGACCTCCCTATGTGAACACCACAGATTCCGGCCTTCTCCACGCTCCAATAGAGAATTTCAGGAAGTTTCCACTGTCCAGCAAAACAATGCGACAAGACAGAGTGTTTGCTCTACACAATCGAACATGATGCATGGGTTAAAATAGAAAGTTACGTAAATGAAATTGTGTGTGTTGCCGGGTTGGGAGATGAATATGTACTGTGGGGGGAAGAGTTTTGATTTAGCAGATCCACCATTCTGGTGCAGTAAACCACGATCGTGTCAGGAGATACCAGCCCCACACTGGCTCCAGCAACTGGAGGGAGGCATGCAAAAGAACTTACCAGCCTGTCAGAGAGACACAGCCTAAAACAGCACAACCTGAAATAATTTACGGGGCCGTTAAACCACAGGCCCTGACCTCCCTTAGGCCAGAACAGCCCCCCACTAAAGCAACTTGGAGGCAAGGGTTGATCTCTTTCAAATGTCCGAGAGGGGTGTGTGGGGAGGAGGGTTGTAAAGCGTACATGTTACGGCTGAGCACGCCGCACTTAGGTCACTGGTCAGTCCTGGACTCGGAGGACGTTAGAACTCAGTGTGGGACAAATGATACTTGTACGGTGTCTGTAAGTCCTAAATATGATGCAAGTTGGGAATACCCGTTCTGGTGCGCTCTACCCGAAGGTTGTACGACGGAACCAGCCCATTTCACTCGGCTAGATTGGCAGTATGCATGCAAGGTAAGCCTACAGTTAAGGAACCTTCCAAACCGTACACCACCGTACAAGCATGATAATATTGCATTGACTATTATGAAGGATTTTGCTAACAAAAGGAATGTCTAATTGTTGGATATGTCAGCATATGCCCATTTCATCTAGAGCACCTATGCTGGTTCCTGTTCCATGGGATGTCATGGGGTGGCCTGAGCTATCTCATCGATTTGTGAGTAATGATGAAGACTGTTACACTCCTCCACCGCACACGGCGACAACAGCGCAAAGCATAGTTGCCTATGAGGGTGAAAAGGGGGAAGTTGTACGTTTTACCTTTAAGCGGTTCAATCATGAAAATAGACCAATAGATTTTAATTAATTAATTATAGGTATTAATTTAATAATATTAAAGTGATGTTGGTTAGATTCCGGTCCATCCCTTAACCAACGTTATCACTTTCTAGGTGGTTCCTCTCTAGGTACGAGTGACTGTAGTAAATTACATCAAACACATGGTACTACAAAATAGAATGGCTCTGGACCTCGTTCTGGCCTCACAAGGCTTGGTATGCAAAGCGATTAATACTGAATGTTGCGCTTACATCTCCGATGCAACATCATCGGTTTATGATGTGGTGGTAGACACAGAACGGGGCAGTAAGGAATTGCACGACCACGACTGGAATCCGTTTGGGGAAAAACAGGCATTTGTTGGATCATAGGGACCTTCTCTCTTCAAGGAACTGCCATGGGAATTAGGGGGCATCAATCTGTCTGTAATTGTTACAACCCTAATTGTAACTGTTTTAAAGCTCTTTGTAAGGAAGGTTGTTAGTACTCATGTATCAGTTGAACACACAAGTACTACTATACGGTGTCCGGTTCAGGAATGGACTCCACCCTATCCGTATAGCTCTGACAGTGATGATGAGTGTGAGGATTGTGTGTAACTAAACAGCATGTATGGTGTTAATGTTTAGCAAGAGTTCTCAATGTACCTAGAAGTTAATGATGTGATGTTCTGAATCTTCGTGAATTTACACCACTGATGTATGTTCTAAGCGTTTTCTTTGTTGTTTAATTTTCTTTCTTAATTTCGATTTGATTGTTGTTTAGAGTTTCTTAAGTTGATTCCGGATTGTCAAAAATGACAAAAAGAGAGGGATGTTGGGGGAAAATTGTTGAGCCTGCGTGGGGTGAGGCTCTCGGGAATGTGACCTTTGATGTGAGCCGGTGACTTAAGGCAGTCCAGGGTGAGATAAGACACAGATTAAACCATACGTGCCCTGGCTGACCTTTTAGATATTGTTGATTGTCCGGGTCCATAAAGGGAGGGTCACAGGGTCACCCCTACATCATCTGGTACTTTTCCAACACTCCTCTTTGAGGGGTGGGCTGTCCTGTCCTGAGGCACCACAAACCTCTCTGAAGTGTATATAAGCTCCTGTTCTCCTCTTCAACTTTGTCAGATCTTCCTGCTCCTTTTGGGGGAAGGAACATCTGTCCCTTTTCAGCTGAATTGTAGTCATTTGACTTCTGTCTGTGCTTACGACTTGTGCTGATGATTTCTGTATTCTTTATCTTTTTTCTATATTCTAGTTAGTAATGAATACTTAATCACAAAGCAAGCTCAAGATACTTTTGATTTCTCACATGGGCTAAATCCACAAATTTCCACCACAGAGGGTGCACCGGGAACCGCAAGGTTGGGGGTTCAAACCCTGGCTGCTCCATGTCCCATGTCGAAGTGTCCCTGAGCAAGACACTCAACCCATAACTGCTCCCCGGGCAAAATGTAAAACCATGGGTTAATAATGCAATGTAAGTCGCTTTGAATAAAAGAATCAGCTAAATGACCTGTAATGTGACCAGTTGGCTTTATCTTTATCCGCAAATGTCTTTTGTACATCTGAAGTTGCATTGTTTCTAACCACAATGCCAATTCTAAATATCTGTAATGACATTTCCATTTATAACGATTTATTTTGGATATTCAAAATTACATTATGGGTGAATGAAATGCGCCTTCATTTTGCAATTAAAGTAATGGCAATTAGATTGTGGCGATCCAAAAAGTCTGTTTGTGACATTGCAGATAATTGGAATACAAATCCAGTCTAAGTGCTACTCTACTTGAATTAAAAAAATGTGTAAATAGATGTGTACGTTACAAAATGTTTATAAAAAAAATAAAATAAAATAAACAAGAAAAAAAAGTGACAAACCTCCTTGGGGATGTTGCCATGGAGAAGGGCTTCGATATGTAACCGTGACAACAGCTGCGGTATGAAGGCCTTGAGGCGTGGAAGAGTCACATCTGGAATACACATCACAGAAAACATTAAACAAAGAGCAATATCCTGAGCTGAAGAAACAGAGTAACTTGTGTGTGTGGCAATTTCATCACACAGCTATTCCTGATAATACCAGTTACTGTCCACAGCAACACGAACTACCAAACTAGGCAATAGGAGACCACAAACTGGGAAAGGACACGGCGGGGTAATCTGAGGCCTTGGTGAGGGCTCCTGCAGGGTAATGAGAGAACCAGTCCTCACCATCTAGAGCCTCTCGGAGCTCATCTTTGGTCCACGCAACCTCGGTCATTAGGAGACGGAGGTAGTACATGGCGTGCTGGTGAGGCTGCTCGGCTCTGAAGTTGTTCAGAGATCTCATGTACTTCAGGAAGGAGGAGAAGGCAAAGTGAGTTCAACTTCAACACGTAATAACTTGCAAGTCGTTAGTGTCATCGAAATGGGAGCTTACCGCTTCCTTGATGATGTCGAAGCGCTTCTCGTCGATCTCGAAGTTGGCCATTTTCTCAACGATCTTCTTCAACAGGATGTGTTGCTTGTCGCTGTAGCCTTTAACGGAGAGCTGCAGCACAGCGGGTGAGGACGGACGGCACGTTAGCGACACATGTAGAGGTGAAGCCTGCTAGCGCTACAGCTATAGCTTATTTATCAGGTGTGGAATTACTGGCCGACCAGACGAATGTCAAGAAAAACCCACCGTCCTCTAGACAAAAGTCACCCAAGTTACAGAAGACGACAGAACATCAAGTGTCACGTGTGTATATTTGAATGTTCCAATTGAGGTCAATCTAAAAAAAAAAAAAGGCACGATGGGCAAAGCTCACTCTGTTTGCCACTATATCAAGTGTTGTGTTAAGTGCTGAACAGCATGCTGGGCACAGCTTGCTCGCAGTCGCAGTTCTTGTGAACTGTTGCACCCAAATGACACGTATACTCTGCCGTTGCTGGGGGGGGAAGCAAATATGTCCCGGCAGGTGGGCGGCTCAGGACGCGAGGAGGAGCAGCGCTGGGTGTGACGTGGCTCGGCTCACGAGGTCAGGCAATTGTTTAGAAGCCACCGCACTGGTTTAAAAAGAACCGTCATGGTTATTTAAAGCCTCTGCCTCGCAGCGTCATCTGAAATTCACAGGCCTTCATGACTCAGCGAATCCTCTGGCTACATGGCCGTGCGCTCACACACATCCCACTCCTCCCCGCCTGGTGATTCCATCGGTGACGCCCGTTAAAAAGTCATCTCTCCTAACGTCGTTAACCTTGACGGGACGCCCGGCCAGCCACACCAAGACTGCTGACTCAACAATACAGCGCATTGCACGACTACACAGACAGCGTGCAGGTCACCACGTCGCATGACAGGCGAAGAGTGTTAGCGGGGAAGTTAGAAAACTTGGGGGGGGGGGGGGGGGGGGGGGAAAAAACCCCCCCTGGAAAAAAGCTGCATTCCTTTTTCGTTTTCTACTTTGCTGTGCAACATTGAATCCCTGAAAGACACAAACACTTAAGAAAACGGCTGTATTCATGAATCAGGTCAACAAAGAGTTGTCTGATGGGGAAAGTAACTTGTAGCCACGTTCCCCGAACTTGCTGTATACGAATTTGCTTCCAATGTCCTCAGTGTCCTCACAGTGTTCCTCGTGTCTTGAGGCAGACACACTGTGTCATCTACTGTCAGTACGACACTCAAACAATTAGAAGCGAGAGAATGGCCAAAACAATCGTTAGAAAGGGTGAGTAACATGAGGCCTGGTCTACTTCCCGCCGATACCCTGAAACAAATCCGTCATATCAGTCACTCAGCGTCCCCTGAATGACAACAGCCAGTGTTCAGCATGACAGACAGCAGCTCACACGATCAAAGCCAAAGTTTCCGCACTCCTTCTGACTTCCAATGGCTTACTTACGAGGATGGCATTCACCCTCGCGGCTACGCCATACACCAGGCCTGCCAGGCGGGCTGCATATGTATACTCGTTTAAATCATCCTTCAGTAACCTGAATAGCAAGAACGCCATGTTGCAGTGCAGGGGGTCTACGTACAGATAGCGACTAATGCAAGAGAGAACAAAAAACACTGTTGGATATGAGGGGTTGCCAAAAAAATATATGTTAAAAGTTATGAAAAATATACAAGACAATACAGGTATGAGAAGAATGTAAGAGTATGTATATGCAGCCTTATGACCGGTTTTCCGTCACCACGAGGTCAACCTTTAGAAACAGAAATGCAACGCTGTCGGCGGAACACCACTTCCCCCGTTTTATTAACCGTAAGTCATCTTATTGAGAAAAGGATGAATCGTTCGGTATGACAACGTGAGAAAGGGATTACACGCAGTAGTGGTGAGGGCGTCGCAGGAGGTGGATGAACGAAAAGGGGGGAAAAAAGGACTGATGAAGGATGAAAAGGAAGATGCAGACAGTTCAGAGGCTCGACCAGTCAGGTCTGGGTTCAAACAGTTGAAAATATCTCCCGCTCTTTTTTTTTTACGCAGATGAACACCTGATACCCCACATCTCCCGCCCTCCCTTTATGGGGGATGTGTGTTTTTTGGCCATGGTTTTTTACAAAAAACTATAACCTTTCTGTACGGGGGGGTTTAGAGCCCCCCATACACCCGCGCCTTCCGGGCACACAGCCTCCCCTTCTCAAATCTTTAAAAAGAGGGGGGGGGGGGGGGGGGGGGGGGATACTTACATACATCCCATAGACGGTATTTTGGAGGTCATAGTTCAAGCCGGCTAGCTCGGCTGCATATGCATACTCGTTGAGGGAGTCCTTGAGGAGCTCAAGGTATAAATATGCCATGTTACAATGTAATGGGTCCACATAAGCAAAAGGGCTGTGGAGAAAATTGCATTGGTCAAACAAAGCACTGAAACATCTCTACGGTTTACATTTTCTAACAAGTTGTGTTCAGAACCTGGCTATACACAAACAATTCATTGTAGTCAGTGGGCAATTTGAGGGAGTCTGTTATTGAAATAAATACAGAATCAAATGTCTTGTTCACAGGACGGTTTGCTACTACCGAGCAAACCAACCAGCTCCTCCCAAAGAGGAGGCAAATAAAAAAAAAAAAAAAACTCCTACTGACTGTAGTTCATTTAGGTTCCGCAACAGCAGAAAACATTCCAATAGGACTTTTGCTGTCCAACTTGTTACACTTTGTTACAACCCATGAACCAAAGAATTGATCCACCCAGATGGGTTTGGAAGTATTTCTATTGACTAAAACCAGCTGATCCAGACTATCCCAGTTTATGGTACCGTATGTTTAAAAGCGAAGAGCCTGAGAGGCCATAAGGAAGGAGCAGCTAACCCGCTTTTAATTCGTACAGTAAAACGGCCTTCAACTTCAGATTTGTTTTGCGTTTCCTTGTTTGCTCTGAACAAGATGGAATGAGTCTCTGGCCAACTGACCAGAGTGGTGTTAACATCAAAAACTACTCAGAAATGCTGCGCTTCAGCGCTTTTGAAAGACTCAAAAAGGCTTTCATATTGTAGAGCAGGAATTGTTGACACAACTACCACCAACTGATAAGTCATCTTTAACGTCTTTGTTGGCTGATACTTTAAATGCATTACATCAGTGACTTTATAGTGATATGATGACCAGTCAATTCATTGTGAGGACTTTGTACCTTAAGAAGGTCCGTCTGAGCTAAAAAGGTTTGCAGGTAGTTACGCACCTGAAGAACTCAAAGTTCAGACACGCTTTCGGAAGGAAGAACTTGTCGTCCTGCTTGAACCACACTTTGCTTATAGCCGTGTCCTGGAAGACATGAACACCACACACAGGCAACTTAGTTTCACAGTCTAGTCGATTCTGGGCAGAGATCATTGTTTTGGAGTCACAATCATTGTGATTGAGCGCTTTGATGGAGTTGTGCGTCGAAGACACTTACTTTGATTAAAGTGGGGACGGATGGGGAGTCGGTCTCGAGAGGGTAGATCTCGAAGTTGGTCGGGATGAACTCGTTTTTCATGGGCAGCGTGAACTTGCCGTTGAGGTCGGCACTCGCCCATTTCTGAAACACAGGAGTACAACGAGAAGGCAGTCAGACCCATTTTTATGCTTCATGGTGGGTGGATTTATTTATGTTTAGATTAAAGCCTGTCCAGGAACCATTGTTTGTCCCAATACCGATATCAGTGTGTTGGAAACCAAAAAGGTTTGACGAGTCATTTTGTCTCGTCTTATAGAACCGTGAATACTTTTCTCACCAAAAACAAAAACACACGAATCACATTTGAACACGTCATGACAACGTTTAGACAATTCTTTCACTCAATGCTACTCATAATGTAGCTCAAGGACGCCTCCGCCAACAGCTGTTAGCTCCTTTATTTGGCCGAGTAGAACTGTGCGGCCTGCAGGCTGCTGACAGCCAACGCTAACTAGCTCTCCCCCTGCTGACTTCTACACAACGTGGTTCTTCACATTGTAGCATCGGGGGGAAAGGGATCGTGTACAAGTAGAATGTTTAGCCGTGGGTGTGCAGTGCGGGTTTCCATATGCAGTGCATGTGTTGTGGTTCTTGTGTGGAGTAAAGGAGCTGATAACTAATATCATAATGCACCATTGGCGCATGGACGTACACGCAGGGACTTTTGCTATGACTGCAGACTCACCTCGATGGACTCCTCGGAGATGGCCTCCTGTTTGTACTGCGTGCCGTACCACTCTTCCGTCTTGTCCGTTTGCCCTTCAAATGACTTTGATACCACTGCAACTCTGAAGCAGAAAGAGAACCGCTTTACCTTGGCACAAAGAACTTGTCAGAAGTGATTGGATATTTGTAGACGAGACGTCACTGCCACTTCGTTTGGACAGAGATTCATTAACATATTGTCTGCTTCAAACCGACGAGCAAAGTGGGATGATAATGTTCAGGGCTTTAATTACGCTACCTTGACTTTAACATCGCTGAAACACAGTCATGCCAGCAGCCAGCAGCCAGACGGCAAGGTTAAAACAGCCATTTCAGTAATGGAAGGGACTGGCACACAAACTGTGAGGGTGAGCCAACGGAGACATGCAGTCTCCTCCTTGAGAAGCGCTAAGGAACGGACTAGTTACAAGAATGAACTTTGCTCCAATCAAGTAGCCTCCCATAAAAAAAGGACTTGCAGTTATAGCTACACTAGAAGGATTTTAAATGAGACCCAAAGCCAGGTTGCGACAGAAGATGTGCTTTTCCCACAGCATGGATCTCATTTTGGGTATGATCTTACTTTAGTTGTGATTTATAACCTTTGTGACAAATGAACTCGGCCACGGCCAAACACAACATTTAGAAAGGGACAGTTTGCATATTCTTTGGAAGGTTAATCTAGTGGTTTCTTGGGTAAATAACTTTGGTGTTTCGGTCCAGAATAAGTTCACTATGGCTTCCATCAAGTCTACCAGGATACAGCTTTAAAACAAAATGGTCTGGTCGACCGAAAACCCTCCATATAAAGGCGGAGTGGTTAGTTGAAAAATATCAGATATTTGCCAAAGAGCATAAAGCTGATAATGTCTTCCTAAGCACTCGTATCGGTCTGTTGGTACATCAAAGTCGACCTTTGAGGCTGCACAGATAACCAAGTCTGAGAAGTTGTCTGGCATTCCTTTTCAAGGCAGTCAATTGAACACACAGACACACACAAAAATCTTTATCGGATTATAATACTCTGAGGTGTTTTTTTCCATTTTTTAAAAATATTACACACACAAATATAAAGCATTTATTTACCATTCTTATAGCAGTTGTTTTTTTGTGCATTATATACACACATGACATTAAGACAGATAATTATTAAACACTATGTGAAGCCACACTTACTTTAGTAGTGAGTGTCAGTGATTATCGTAATGTAACAGAGGGAAACACGTGTCTGTGGATGTACACGTTAAAAAAAATCGGTCTTGTGTTGACCGACAAAATACATTTGTTTCGTATTCGGGAGTCGGCTGCGATAATAAGCAAATTCACCACCGCATATTAAAACTAACATTCAAAGAGGTTGTGACAGCGGGTGAATGGATCAGCAGAGTGACGCTCTCGCACTAACCTGACGTGTTCGGGTCTCAGCTTATCCAGCACCATCTCGATCAGATCGGGTCTGAAGTCCTCCAAAAGGTACTCTGCTGCTAGAACCTCTTCAAGAGGGTAGTACTGAAACATAAAGACCAATGTTAGCGCTGTACTTCTTCAGGCGGGGCGAATACAACTGGGAAACGCAAGTGAAAAGGGCTTGAAATTAAATTCTTTCAAGTCCAAATACTTCTAACTCTCCAGCTGCAAAGGACCAACAACCAAAACAACCAAACAAATATGTTGTTGAAGCTCTTATCCTGATGGGCGGCAGATCTCCAATACAGACACAAACACACTGGGCAGCAGTGATGATTACAGGCTCAGCCAATGGTGCGGAGACAGCCATACGGGTATGGTGGAAGATGTAAAAAGCTGAGCCTTAGTGAATGTGCCTCTTCTAAACAACAGGTGGAGGTGCAATGAGCTGGAGATGGGACCTACATGTACGAGACCGGCCACTTTAGAAGTGTAGCCCCGTGGTCGCTCCTTGTCCTTGAACCTGAAGGCCACTTTGTTTAGATCCTAAAGAGAGAAAGACAGACGCAGAATGTAACAAGTGAAATTCCAACACTTACAACAGTTGCGTACAGCTGCCAGGAATTTAGAGCCAGAATGCAGAAAACGGATGTTTCATTTTAATCATTTAGGAAACACAGTTTTACAGTGTAAGGCAGGAAATAAATACAATGCAGCTTCATTTGATGTTGGCTGGATTCAGCGGATAAGATAGATTCAAAGCTGCTAGTTATCAACCTCTACTTTCAAAAGTCGGTGCTGCTCTCTTGGTTTCCCCATTACCCAGAAATAAGCAGGTCAACTTTGTCCCGCCCCTCCGTCTGAAATGTAACCTTAAAATAAACAACATTAATCACCTTGCACTCCTCAAACACCCAAGCCTGAGGTCCCTCAGTGCGTAGTTTCTGGATGTACTGGAACATGTGGAAGATGATGTCCTCAACGTGCACTGCAGCAACACAACAAATACAAATATATGTATGATGTACATGTTCTGCATATAAAATACCTAAACGAACAGCATCTACATTTCATTTACGTACGCGAATCATCCTAAACGAGAGCAGAGCATGAGATAGCGGTGATAACGTATGATGTACAGGCGAGTGTGCTACTTACGAAGGCCCTCCTCAGTCAGGTCCACGTTGATGATGAAGAACATGAATCCCCTGGCTCCTTCCTTCTGCCCTCCAACGAGTGTGTTCACCCAGCCTTCAAAATCAGAATCATTTTCAGTGTGTCATTAGTACGTAGAAGATTAACACGGAACATCTTGATAAGGCTCCTTCAACCCTTTCTATTGTTAACATGCATTTCACCTTTTGCTTATTTCTGTGTCACCTTGTTGAACTGTATACTAATAACATCAACAACCAGATCAAGTCTTATTTTATCCAGTCGGTGTCTGTCTATCCTCTACCCCGATGTAACATAATACAATATATATATATTTTTTCAATAGAGGCTTTATGCTTGCCAAAAAGTGAAAGGAAAGTGTCCAGCCCGAAACAGGAGCCAACTTCTCCACTTGTTGTGTTGTCGCTGTACGTTACATCATACCTTTAGATTTGAGCTCAGATAACAAACTTCCGGGCCCTTCGTGACCAATCAAATGACCCAGATAATGTCCTGGGTTGGATTTGTAGTACTTCTGGAGGTCCGGGATGGGGAACGTCACATAAAGGTTCCTGATGTCTTTAATCGGCACCACTTTGTAGAATTGCTGCATAAGTAAACAAAGAACAAAAAACCCCAACCATACAGCTAGTTAGTCAGTCATCTTCTGAGCCGCTCATCATGCGGGGTTGCGGGGGGAACAGGGGGGGTGGAGGGTCTGGAGCCAATCCCGGTTAGGGACGGAGTACACCCTGGATTGATCGCCATTCGATAGCAGGGCTGACACGACCATTCACACTCACAGGCAAGAGTCACCAACTAAAAGGACCCCAAGAGCAAGTCTGGACTGTGGGAGAGAACCCATGCAGAGAACATGCAGACTGGGTGGAACCCAGGACCTTCTTGCTGTGAGGAGACAGTGCCGCCCATTCATAGCGCTACTAATAGAATAGAAGAAATGTGAAATGTTGTTGTGTGGATGAAAAAAATGTCTTGTTGATCTGAGCAGCCAGAAGAGAATGGGCAGCCTGGTTCGAGATGATAGAAAGGCAACAGTAACTCAAAAATCACACTTGTTACAACCAAGGAATGGGGAATATAATTTCTGAACACACAACATGTGGAACCTTGAAGGAGATGGGCTACAGCAGCAGAAGACCAACGCGGGTGCCACTCATGTCAGCTAAGAACAGGAAACTGAGACTCCAATTCGCACAGGCTCACCAAAATTGGACAATAGAAGACTTGAGAGACTGATTGGGACACACTGCATTTTTATCCTATATCACATTAAATATTGGGTGTGGACTGGAAAAATTGTATCATCGGTAAATGTGTAAAGAATTTAGAAATTAAAGTAAAGTGGGAGAAACATGGGGGAGATAAAAAGCCAACTCACCCGTAGGTGTTCTTCCTGGAAGGGGTGCTCAGGGAATTCTGGGACAGGAACATTCTTGTTCTCCACTTCTCCAAACAGCTTGACCACCATGGAGGTCAAATCATCTAATGATTCTGTAAGTACAGGTAGGCATAGATTTATTTCAAATTAGATGAACAATTGGCTCACATGAGTGCAAAGAATACCAAAATGACCTTCATATTTAAAGCGAGCTCTCATTAAAGTGAACACTGTATAACAGGATTTAAGGAGGTAATTTGACTTGAAATCCAAACCGGTGTTTTGAGGCATCCTCTCAACAAGTCATGAGCAAACATTCCAACATTAAGCTAGTCTTTGAGAAAACCCTTTTTGCTTGAAGTGCAATATGAGCTTTAGTTTAATAGCAAACAGACTTAAGATGGCAAAACAGGAATCGGTTAACGTTCTTTTACCACAAAAGGAAGCCGCGGTTTTCAAAGTTTCCCCCAACCAGAATGATCGCAGAGGCTGCCCAAGTAAATGGCAGAACGGGGGACATTTTCAGACGCTAAACAAATCCTGTGTGTCAGTTTTGCAAATCCCAAAGAGACTACAAATATGGAAAAAAACAGACGAGGTGAAGTGCAGCTCAGCTAAGACTAACCTTTAACAAATACTACAACCGGCTGTAGGCGGAAGACACTCGGTCATTACGATGATTCATTTGTTTTGGGCAATTTTAATGAGGTAAAGTAACAAAACTCGCCGTTGATATATTTGTATAATAACTAACGCAAACTGGAAATATCTCAATCAAGCCTGTGTAAACCAAGTGGTGACTTGCTGTCAGCACAATGGCACAACTTTCAAACGTGACGTCGTGGGAGAGGACTCTTACCTCTTCCCAACACACACAGTCCCATGAGGTTGGATGAGTAATACGTAGAATGAAATTGCAGGAGCTCCTGGCGAATGTCGATCCCATCTTTAGATGGCTGGGTCTCAAGGGTCAATTTGTTACCTGAAAGAGGGCGATAAAACACAGAAAATGTTGGTCAGAGCTGGTCAATGACAAGGAATACAATCGCGATGGTTCACTAGTTCATTAAAAACCAACTTTAAAAAAAGAAAAAGAAAGGTCAAATCCTTCTAGTTCATCTTCACAATGCAAATATCAATCTAGTGTTAATAAAGTGATCCCAGATATGAGCAGTGCATGGACATTAGAGAATGAAGCACGGAGACTGTTCCTCTTTCTAGAATACCAAGAAGGTCACAGACCAACGACAGCGTGGTCTTATTGAGGACCGCAGAAATATTCATAATGTTTCAAGAGTCACTTGATCGGACAACAAATCGGTTCACGACGACATCAGTGACAGCAGCTTGTAAAGCACACAATGAAGTTTCTTGCCCTTCTGTGAATTAACCGCTTTTCAAATCTTATGACAGAGACAGAAAATCAAAGCAACATTGTCTACCTGTTCCAAATTTACTAAAGGGGTGGTTAGGGTTTCCAGTGGCCTTCTCTAACTGGAACAGCCTCCAGGAATCATTCATCAGGTTCTTCTCATGCTCAGAGTCCACAGCATTCACCTCCCGGTCCTTACAGCTCTCATCAAACAGCGGGCACAGGAAGAACTGGGCGAACCTACGGAGATTGCAAACAGAGTAAAGGGAACATCCAGCGGCATGGTTCAAAAGGAACAACAGCGTCACAGTCATTCATTTCCAGGGGCCAGTTAATGCACATGAGCCTTTCAGACACAGTGCTCATCTATTTTCAACAGGGCAACATCATTAATATTTCAATGTACTCTGCACTGTCCTTTCCTACCACTGCAGTCCAGGTGGCCTTAACAATCCAGTGGCACAGAAGAAAAATGTGTCTACCACACACAAACCAATGCCTTTTAGGCCATCATTCATTTATAGGTGGGTAAGCTTATCCCAGAGGGTTCAATTCTGACACGTGAGCAGAGACCTCTAAAAGGCTGCAGACAGCAGTGCCACCCTGTGCCTGAGGTTTAGTATCCTGGTGGTCCCGTCAGCTCAATTGGGTTAACACCTGGACTCTGAAGGGAAACACTGTATTAGGATAAATAAACAAGCACTTCGGCAGAGATCGGTCCTAATTGAATTAGGGTAGATGGAGCCTTAACAAAACAAATAGAAGATAAAAGATTAAACAAAATGTGTGTGTGTGTGTGGGGGGTGATTTGAGACTTACTGAATACATTTGACTGGACTGACTATAAAAGTAGTTCATGTCAGGTCTAAATCACGACTAATATTTGGGCCCACAAAGCCGTAACAGGGTCCTAAAGTTAACAAATGATTTTAATGAACACAAATGAGCCAAGTTACTGTCTGTAAATGGTAAAATGAATCTGATCAAAGAACAGGGATGTACCTGTCTAGAGCTCCTTCCAGGTGCTCGTGGGACACGTCAAAGTAGTAGTTGGTGTGCTCCCCACTGGTGAAGGCGTTGGAGCTGCCCGCGTGCTCACTGAGGAATTGGCTGTACTCGTTCTCTTTGGGGTACTTCTTTGTCCCCAGGAACAGCATGTGCTCACAGAAGTGCGCCAGGCCCGAGATGTTCCCGGGGTCCGATAATGAACCTAAGAATTTAAGAAGAGCGGCCACAGAACATCAGTTAAACCGGCTGTAGCTCTCGGCTTGTTAAGTTCACAGATGCATCGCCTTCCCATTGTCTGTCAGATCGGTTGGCCTGACTGGAGGGGAAAGACGGATAATAACCATATATGTGTCATTGCACTACACATATAAGTTGCATTATTAACTTGTTATTCAAATAATGCTTTTAATTAACACATATAAACAGTATCTTACTAATATGACAAGAAATTAAGAGACCTTGCCAAGATACGTTGGATACTACTAAACAGGCAACATCTGCCTCAGTTCATGGGCAAAATGTCACTGTTCAGAGAGAATGTGTGCATGTAAAAGGCACAATTAAATCCATCAAGACACAATTTGGAGAATTGTAAAAATAATTTACTTTTCTAAATTGACAAAAGGGAAAAAAGATGTTTACAATAAATAGAATTTCAAACAGTTGTTTTCTTCATTGAAATATGAGATGTAGTCAATAATAATTAGGGTAACATTAGCTGCCTTAAAAAATCAGGTAGGCCCAACAATGCAAAATGTATTGCAGTTATTGAGGTTACTCTTTGCATTGAACAGATGGTAACCTCAAAAGTACACAATATTAACACTGTGCATATATTTTCCACAACGGATTTCAAAATGTCCCTGTGAGGTCAAAATATATGACTCCCAAGACAATAGCGATGAAATAACTTTGGTTACCGATATGGACGTCCAAAGCAGCGGAGGACTTGTCTGTTGTCGGGTCGCTGATGAGCATGGCCTTCAGGCCATTGGTGAACTCCAAACCTCTGTAGTCCCGCTTGTCCTCAGGAGAGCGAATGATGTCCCCAACCACCCTATTCACCGCCGGGGCGTTCATTGTGAGTGGCAAGGATGACACCAGCCTGGGGGGGGAATCACAAGCAGTTAGTGAAAGACTCTCATATTCCGATATAAACCGACGTGATGTCCATGGCAGACTTTCATTTGACCGAGGAGAGCGACACCATACGCACTTTTATTGGTAATTAGGCACAGAGCCCCCTCCGGACAAACATCGTACATTAAATGCTGCGTATGACCGACCTATATACAAGACTTGTGTAAATAAACAAATGGACCAAATTAAGGCCACAACAGTCTCCGAGGTGACGGTGTTTGGGGTTTAACAGATTCCATAACATGTTAGTTAATGGTCAATTCACATCAAGTTTACCACAGCAAGGAAATGCAGCCGCCAACGTCACTAAACACGCAGCTGATATTAGCGAAATCGGGGTTGGCGAATATGACATTCAGTCATTTCTTTATTTAACGTTAACTTAGACGGCATAGTTGTTAAAAAACTCCTGAAACCGAACCCGCTCGCAACGGCATTCGGTAAAGTAACGTCACAGTTATTAACGTTAGTTAACGTTAAACGACGTTAAAGGAAATATATGGGAATTATTCGCGATGTGCTATCGGGTGGTTACATGAAAACACAAATACAAGTGCTTCGCCCAAAGAACGGCAAAGATGTGCAAACACAAGTCGCTAGAGGACATCCTATAATCCGCCACAGAGAAAGCAGACTGCCGTCAACGTTAGCTCGCTACATTAGCACCATAAGCTCCAGCAATACGAGAACGGTTACACGCGGCGTCGCGTTTATTTGTTCAAGTATGTGGTCAGCGTTTATTCTCTGCTGTTAAAAATGCATTATAATTGTAAAAAATACCGAAGCTCCGCGGACGAATCCCGTTTTAAGAAAGCTAACAGTGCCACCCAAAGTAGCAACATAGCTAGCCAGCTTCACTCTAACGTTAGCATGGCATCTTAACGTTAGCTCAGCAAACCGGCTCCAGTTCGGCTGCTAGCCAGCCTACCTTCGGTGTGAAAATAACGCAATTATTTTTATCACAGAAGGTTAAGACATTTAACTTGACAACGCTTACCTAAACTCTTGTTTGATAGAGAAACCGCTGCCTGCTGACTGGAGATATCTTGTGAAATGGGCCGTTCGGTTAATGCACTTAAACATACTTTGCACCCATGAAAAATAAACCTTGGCTTTTACGGCGCCATTTTTAAATAGACAAAAGCCATCGCACACAGAACAGAGCGTAACTCAACATGAATCTAATCAATGCTGAGACGATATGGTTGACTGTTTGGTGTAATAGCAACAACAACAATCAATGATAACACAGTCGAACTTAAAATGACAGGCACGGGGCGAAATATCTTACATAGTTCTGAAATATTGTCGTGTCATTGGTTCTGATATCGATTAGGAGCTCTGCGTGTGGATTTTTGTTCAGCGTATCATATCGGTTTACGAAGACCAGCCTACGCATTCAATTTACGAAGCATTGAGAAGTTAACGCAACCGATGCACTCGTGTGAAATAGACAGGACGCAGTTTGTGTAAAACTAAATGAGCATGAGGTGTATTTTACTGCCGATGCATTTTATCAAGAGTCTTACCTGAAAGTCTGCAGGTACTGTACACCTGCACCCGCCAGGAAGTTACAACACTACAAAGCACAATTGGACTGTTGACATATTTCTTTTAAAACGGTCATAATAGAATTCGTTTAACTCTGACTTTTGATATTGTTTTATGGGTTGTACATGTTATTGTTTCATGTTTACGTTTTGATCATGTTTTTTCCTAATAATGTAGCGTGACGTCATTATTGTAGTGACGTGTTTCTTGTAAACTGATTGTTCAATAAATCATCTACCTGATCGAGGTAGTAGTACTCAGTAGAACTAGATCAAGTGACACGTGAGTTGGAGATTCTCAATGTTGTTACGATGTCTATATATTACACAGCGAAGCTATTCGTCAATACCATTGGTTCTGTCACTGCAAATCGTAGAATGTAAATAAGAAGTGCAAAAAAAGCCAAGAACATTTTGACATCACACCACTATCAGGTATGCAAGAAGCGCTGAGTGTCGTTGCTGCTCACAGCCACTAGATGGCAGCAGTTGTTTGTCCAATGACGTCGATCAGAGAAGAACGTCGATCGATCCGCTCACTGCTGTTGTTGTCCCGTCTCTTTTTATACTGGAGGGCTTATGACTGTACTCAGTTTGTCATTAGATTCATTTTAATAAAACCCAGTCAGGTCCAGTACAGCAGGACGGGTCATCCGAGTTGACAAAGTCACTATGAATTTGCACCTCGGCACTTTATTTGCAGAGTCCTCGCTTGTTCTTGCATTCCACGGGAGTCTTTTGGCTCCTCCCCCGTTAAATCATTACACCACCACTTCTGTATAGCACTCTGAACTGGACAGTGAGAAGGTTCAAGACACCTGAAGCACAATGGAGAAATCAACAGACAAGAAAAAAGTTATAGTAGTGGGCGGTGGTTTGGTAAGGAAAGTCGATTATAAAAAGGAAACGTTTGTCTTGTCTTTACGATCTCTTATATTGACCCTTAACAAGCCGACTGTCTTCTCCTAAAGTGGAGCTGTAGGCTCTTGTTCGAAGTCAAAGTCGTATTGCAGTCAAACATTTAAACAGTCTGCAAATACAATTACAAACGCTGTGTCTTTAACTATGGATAAGCTGCCAATACAGCTTTGTTGGGCAATAATTCGTTGGGCTTTGTTGGGCAATAATTCGTTTTGTATGTTGAACTAAAGTTCTGAGAAATGTCCTTTCTCCCCTTCGCCATTGAGGTTGGGGCGCTGAACGCCTGCTTCTTTGCCGAAAGAGGCTTCAATGTGGAACTGTTCGAATCCCGCGAAGGTAGTATTCAAACCTCTTTCAGGAATTAACATTGTGACATCATGTCCCTCTCTGAAGAGTAGATCCATTGCATACGACTTACAATAGTCCAGGAACATTGTGCAAACACAGGTTAAAAACATAACTGTTTCACCTAGATGAAACAAAGATGTTTTGTCTCATTTTGGTTAGATATCCGGCGGGCCGAAGTTGTGAAGGGAAGAAGCATCAACCTGGCTTTGTCTCACAGGGGCCGGCAAGCACTGAAGCAGGTCGGGATGGAGGACAAGGTACGCAGCGAGTAGACCCCGGCCTGTTTGTTTATTGATCTGAAAGATAACACAATAGACACGCATGGCTCATCCACTGTTCCTTCCCTCGTTATTGTACACCACACTACCTACGAGGTGCAGCCAACCAAATAGAAAGCTCTTTTAATTTCTAATAATTTAATTGATACATTAATGGCCGGGTCCCCTGTCATGTGTCCGAGCTGCTTTCCCTACTCGCAGTTCACCCAGGATGTTTTATACCTACGTCCATTGTAAGGGATTGTCTTTGTTGGTGCACATTGACTGCACTGAGCTTGATATGCACGCCCCAGAAGCTGGGCGACCACGTGTTGGACGGTTACTTTGACACCGAAAACATAGACTTTGCTGACTATAGAAGTAGTAGACATAGACAAGTAAATTGTTACACTTTGCAGAAATATTTATCCTGACGTAAATGCATGTCTTTTCTTTCTGTATACTTTTCCTTAGATTGTCTCCCAGGGGATCCCCATGAATTCAAGAATGATCCATTCATTAAATGGGAAACAGTCCCCGATCCCTTATGGGAAGAAAGGTCAGGTAAGCTGACCATCGTTATGATGTGAGCAATATCTATAGATATATCTATATAGATATATCATGACTAAACGGAAATACGATCCCATTGTCAACTGTACAGTTTTTCACAAAATAACAATTACAATTTATTTGATCCCAGAACTGTGCTTATCATAGCCACACATTCATATTCAAACAACATGCGTTTGTTTACTGTGACGACTCAGATTGTGCCAAACGTTGAACAGTGCGCAGTGACAACTAGAGCAGTCTAACTGAAATAATGTCACAAATCAACCGAGCATGGTTAGTGAGTCTGAAAACGTATTTTAATTACCCGGCTGGCAGTTTGGTGCTAGATCCCGCAGGGGCTCGCGCGGTTAAATAAATCTAAAATAAACCATAAAGACAGTGAGAGCACGCAAGGGCACGAATGGGGCGACAGAGGATCAACGCCCGCGGCTTCCTGCGCCCATTTGGACTGAACACTGTCACAGTTTATGAAGCGGGACGTTATTGCACTTTAACAGATTATTTTCCTTTCAGTTCATCCTGTCAGTGGACCGAGCCAATCTGAACAAAGAGCTGTTAACAAGTAAGAACGTCACTAGTCAACATGAAGTCAAATGTTAGAGGTCGTTTCTGTGAAACCAACAATTCAGCCTGAATTGAACGCCATCAGTTCTACTTTTTGCTTCTTTCAAGCGCTTGTTTACGCCGCGGGCCGTCCGGGGGCTGTCATGGTCTTTTCGGCCTAAAAGGATTTCGCCTTACGTTAAGATAACTATTTTTTTGGGGAGTGTGGCAATCAAAGCATCACCAGTGTGAGAGCTGCCCTGAGCCGTGTAATCAGCATGAGGTTGTTCCCCTCTGCAGAGGCAATGATTTAACCGCTTGCTGGCAGCATGTGTCCTTGAGGCATTTTATTGGAGTGGTGAAAGGCTCCATGTGCATTTGAACCTGTATGCTGGCATCTGTCGTATAAGCTCACGTTTTACTCCCACAGAGGCAGAGACGTATCCAAACACAAAGTTGAACTTTGACCACAAACTGCTGGATTGGAGAGCTGAAACAGGGCGGATGACCTTTGCCAGGTAAATAGTTACCCATCTTACTCACATGCACCTCTATAATCTGGATCCTTCTCTCTTACAAATATTCATTCATTCATTCATTCATTCATTTCTTGGAGAATAACCCCAGTCATCTACCGACTGAGGCTTTAACCTTAACCTGGTCCTGAACCCAAATATAAACCTAAACATGATTTATCTAAAGCTTAACTTTATCCTGAACGTAACCTGACCCTAAACAATGCCCCTAACCTTTGTAGGTGATGTTATATATCATTTTTATTTTTGTTATATATCAACAAATTACGCTATTTATTCAAATTATTTTGATGAACAAATGTTTTAAATGCAGCAGTTACCACAACAAATCGGTGCCATGGTATTATTTGGTTTGTGTTGTTTAGTGTCACTTTAACATACACACAACCTGACACCTTGTTCCCCACGTGCAGCTGTTTTTTTGATATTGTAAACCTTTGGAACATCTATATTTGATCCGTCCATAATTGCTTTAATAAGGGATGATCAAGATTCCTTTGAATGTCCTAGATTTGAAACCCAAGCTAAGCTTTGCCTAACGAAACCTAAACCTAAACCCAACAACAACAACAACAACAACAATGTAATTCAAACAGTTTTATGTCCACACAACATGAGTAACACACAAACATGTGTGTGGAGGGTATTTTAGGAAGAGGATGTGTAGATTCTTTATTATAACTCTAAACATGTTAAGACACATGGCTTTGTACATGTGTGTACGAATTGCTGTTTTTTTATTTTGTATTCTCATGCCTGGTGGCGAGACGTGTACCCTGTTAACACTGTGGATGTGAACGTGTTCACTTACTGCAACAGTGGAAACACACTTTAATGCACCTCAGTCATATTTTACATAAAGTGTGCCTCGAATGCAAAAATCCCCCTAATGTACACGGACCCCCTCCGATCCTCTCTCCTGTCCTTGAACTGTGACGGCACATATTTCCTGTCGCCAGCTTGTGTGATTAAATGTACTGGGGGAGCCGGTTGCAACTGGGATGGATAATGTTCAGAGATCGGCACCATCAGCATGAATTAGATGCATTCTAGTCTGGTCTCTGATCAAGTCATAATCTACTGTAGTGCTGTAAATCTAATAACGTTAATGAAGTTTAAATGGTCAATGAACACTCATCAACAATCGGATGAATTTGGGAAGGTGGGGTCACATGCACACAAGAGGATTGTCAGACTCACTTCAACTTCAAACATTTTTTTAAATTTACACAGCAATTTTACCATTTACTTTCACATCAGGGTATTTCCACAATATTGTAGTTTTTATGTGAAAATCTAGCCGATAAGTGACCTAATAATACATCCACTTTGCACCGATGGTGAAAGCTCTCTTTGGAATCAGTGTTAAGTACGTTTGGCCTGAACTATCTTATCATTGTTGAGTTGACGTGTTCTGGAGGGGAATGTGACGAATAACGTGTGGCTGCTGTGGTATGAGAAGTCTTGAATTCAAGCTTTCATTAGACTATTTATTAGGTTTGAAATTATATATTTAGGTTTTGATGTAAACAGACCCCATAATGAATCTGTCAGTTGCTTTTTACTATCACCTAGTTACGATAGCAACATGATTTAGTAACGCTTCATGTGTTGGCCTGCTCCTCCCCTTTCCTCAAAGATGTCAGCCAAAACAGATGAAGAATATATTTCACTGACGTCTAAGCTGAAGAATTATTCAATAAGCTACAATACAAACATCATTATGTGCTCTGGAAAGGATCATAAAATGGGACGATAAAGTGCCAAAATAATATTCTCATGTAAGTAACTGATGCACGCTCATTTTTCTCTTTTACATCACATGTCATTTAGTTGACGCTTTTATCGAAAGCGATTTACAATAAGTGCCTTTAACCATAGGGATACAAAACAAAAGAACAAGAAACAAGAAAGTACAAATTCATCAAATACTGCTACTGCAGGAATCCCTCTCCATGTGGCACGGTGCATCTGTGTTCAGGGATGTGGGGGATACTGACTCCTGCTGTTCAGAGCAGCTTTTAAAGTCGAGGAGCAGATGGGCCGAACTGCATGCTGGGTGTGTTTTTAAATGAGATGCCATCACCTTGACCACCATGGCTTAAAGGGAAATGAGCCTTATACACAACAATCGTTCAAAGTGTCAGGGAAATATGTAGCTGTTACTTTGGAGAAAATGTATCCTAAAGTTTCCCATTTCTGTTTTAAAGAAAAACACTCTTTCAGTTGTAATATATAAAAAACAAATAGCTAGAGGACTTCATTTTAAATGTCCGGTTCAAATGTCACTGCCGTGTTTCTCAGGTCAGATGGCTCCAAAGAGCAGATCAACGCGGACCTGATTGTGGGCTGTGACGGAGCGTTCTCGGCCATCCGCAAGCAATTCCTCCGCCGCAGCCGCTTCGACTACAGCCAGACCTACATCCCCCACGGCTACATGGAGCTCACCATGCCACCCATTGACGGAGAGGTCAGTCCTCCGAGTGGACGTCCCCTCCTTGAAGGGGTCAAGATGCCTGTAATGTAAGCCTCGCAAGCGCTGGGCTCCAATGTCGATTTCCTCTGATTCCTTTGTCCTCAGTTCGCCATGAAGCCTAATTATCTGCACATCTGGCCACGAAACACCTTCATGATGATCGCCCTGCCCAACCTGGTGAGTGCGCATCTTAGGCGTGTGTTTAGGCCGAGCTTGTAAAATGAGCAATGGGAGCTGTTTGTTTCTGAGGGGATTACCTCACATCTCTTGGCGAAGACAAAAGCATAATCAATTCAGACAATGTCGGGGTGTGATTGACCTCTGGGAGGTCCTGTCCTCGTTAATTGGAGTTAATTAGCCTAATTCACAGAGCTTCACGACCAGCAGTGACTTACTGCAAAGCGCCTGCTGCACCAACCTTCACGCCGCCGCTCTTTGTCTGTGTTTGTCAGACTTCTCTCCTGGCTCGGCTCAATTATTGTGCTCCATTCAGGGAGACCAGGTCAAGGCAGCCAGCAGACGTTGGCGTCCATTCACTCTGTCACAGCGCTAGTTCCTAAGGAACCGTCTAGTCTAGTCTGGGCTGACGGCACGGCAGCAGTATACATGTAAACGGCTCATTCTACGACAACTAGTCTTGTGAGATTAAACACTAAAGGAAAAGAGAGTTGCTGATATGATATTCCATTTCTGCCAAAAGATCCCCTGCAATGTGTTGCAATAGATTATTGATCTGACTGTGTTTGTGTTTTCTTATTTTAGGACAAGACCTTTACCTGTACCCTCTTCATGCCCTTTGATGAGTTCGAGAAGATCACCACAGGCGACGAAGTCATCGACTTCTTCCAGAAATACTTCCCCGACGCCATACCACTGATCGGAGTGTGAGTGACTTCCTCTCCTTCGCTCCCTGCACCTACGCGACCTCACAAAGCACTGTCATCCCTCGTCGTCCCGTCGGAAACATCCGCAGCGTCCACAGCCGCGTCCGGCCAAGTGCAAAATCGCAGCCTAACGGTTACAGGTTGGTTTGTGATGCCGTTTGTGGCTTCGGGTGACGCGACACGGGAGGCATGAGGTGCAGAGACGCCCGAGGCAGACACGCACCCACCTCCCCTCTGGGTATGTCTTATTTGCAGCGCTGAGGCAAAAACATTTGTTTGGCTGCGTGATGGAATGGAAAATCCTGGTTAGTCTGAGCAGCTTCTAAAGGGCCTGACTTTTATACATCTTGTTTGAAACAGGGAGTCCTACAACCTTTATCTCAGGTGAATTAAGGTTCTAAAATTGAGAAGTCGAACAACACAAACAGGAGATTTCCCAAGTCACGTTGGGAAATAACTAACGCAGTGGAAATTTGCCAACACGGGCTGTTAAACAGTGGCGGGCGGCTTTTGCTACAAACAAAAACCAGAGTCGGTTGCAGTGCAGAAAGAAAAAACCCCGACACGAGTTTGTCATCGTTTTATTTCGGTCCGCAGCGATGCTCTCAAGACGGATTACTTCCGACTGCCCGGACAGGCCATGGTGTCCATCAAGTGCTCCCCGTATCACATTGAAGACAAATGTGTCCTCATGGGCGACGCGGCCCACGCGGTGGTGCCCTTCTACGGACAGGGGATGAACGCTGTAAGTGACACTCAAAGGAGCGGGGGGGAAAAAGCCCATTTGAATAGAGGGAGATTCATTCGTCTGCTCATGCGTCACAGGGCTTCGAGGACTGCATTGTCTTTGGAGAAATATTGGATCAGCTCAATAATGATTTCAGTGAGTACCCTTCAAGGAAACAAAGCCCAAAAGAGACGGAGAACGAGTGGAAGGCATCATCGTCTGTATTCCTTTGTTTTGCCGCACTCAGGCGCCGTGCTGCCAGAGTACAGCAGAGTGCGAGTTCCAGACGACCACGCCATCGCAGACCTGGCCATGTACAACTACATTGAGGTCATTTGTCCTTGTGCTTTGAAATACGTTGCTTCACACAACATTGTAGTGGGGTTCAGGTGTCTATTGAATGTGCAGTGATCCCACTGTAGGAGAGGTTTTGCCTTCAACACACGACAGCAGCAGATTAACATTGAGCTCTTTGAATAAACACTCACCAGATGTTGCCTTGAATTCTTGAGAAAAACCTTTCACAAGAATCATGAAAGTCTTCATGAAAGTAGAGTAAAGGCGAAAGCAACGTTTCTGGCAAACAGACGTTTAAAATGAGAAGCCAGGGAGTGTTTTGAATTGTAATGTTAATGCCGAGGTAACATATGCTTGGTTAAATTCAAATCATCTTAAAAAGTCATCTGAAATTACAAACAAGATGACGGCCCGTTTCATTTGGTCGCTTGTGATATCCTCCTCTGTCCAACCCCCATCGTGCCCCAAGTCACGATGACAGCGAGTAACCTTGAAGTCTTTACAAAGCGCTGCATGGAAGAGCCATCCAGTCAGGTTCTGGGTCTGCCTGCTCTTAACATCTGTAGAAGCCACACTCTCCTCCACATCTGACTAACCATCCGTCCAGTCAAATTCCAGCTCTCCAAATTTATTCAGACACAACTCAAATTGCAGAACTTTGCTTTAGCTTAACCTCCCCGTTCCTGCAGAGTGGAGTTCACTTCATTAACATGTGTACTTGTTCCCGTTTTGTAGATGCGAGCCCACGTCAACTCCAAATGGTTCATTTTCCGAAAACATGTTGATAACTTCCTCCACTTCCTCATGCCAAGCACGATAGTTCCACTGTACACAATGGTAGGAATGCTGACATCCTAAAACAGCATTGTCCCACTGCTGGCTTCGTTACAAAGTCCAGATAATCTGCTTCCCATCACTTCCTCCAGGTCACTTTCACCAGGACAAGGTACCACGAGGCCGTGGACCGCTGGCATTGGCAGGACAAGGTAAGACACGCTGACAAATATGTGTACCATTGACTCTTTTTGAGAGATACTTTATGCCTCTGTACAGTTTAGTGTAATTCGTGCCTCCTTTGACATCCACGTTTTATTTGCAATGAGCGTGAAAGGTGTTTCTTTTTCTTACACAAACGCATCGTTTTGCTGCAAAAAGCACATTTCTCCCGTCTGGCTGTGACGAGCCAAGTCGGTCTGCCCTCCGGCGATGTGCTGAACTGTCTCCATGGATCCTCCATCAGCGGGGACAGACTCCACAGCCTCCGTGGTGTATTTTCAAAACCCTTTGGATTATATCCGGGCAAAAGGACACAAAAGGGGATGGGGGGGGACAGGGGCATCTGCAATCATGCCGCAAAAGGCTTGACAGGGCGTTTTCTCTGCATTTTTGATGTGAGAGTGTTATTCCTAAAAAATAAACACTTTTCAAATGACGTTTGCGTATCCAGTAGCTTTTTCCAAAAATGTGATGTTTTGTTTTTTCACAGGTGATAAACCGCGGCCTGCTGTTGAGCGCGACAGCAGCTCTTTTGGGAGGCTCCTACCTGCTCATTAAAAACCCTCCTGATATCAGCAAGCTCATCAGGCCCGCTGAGAAGATGTGGGACGGGCTCGTGGCCCTCTGCAACCCCCGAGCGCTGGCTCGGATCTGACAGACAGAGAGTCCCATTTTAATTAGGGTTTGATTGAATCCTCTGATGAACACAGTGAGAGCCTTTGACTGGCAAATGAACGTAGCGATATGAGGACTTAAATGATGGACGCGTTGATTGAATGTAGAATTCCTCAACATTTAATAGCTGTGTGACTGATTGGAATATTTAATTGCCATCCAAAATCATTGTCACATTTTTTCATTGAGAGAACCAAAATGGCAGTATTATGCAGTATTAAACCCACTGGCAAGGAGTATTAGTATGGAGTATTTCCAGGGATCAGTTAGGAGTTACAATACAAACAGTCAATACAAACTGTATACTGAAGAGATAAATGTTGAATAAATACGTGTTTCTCCACTCAGTCTTTGGGACTCAAACAAGCCTTGAAACCACAGTGACGCCTCTCGATAGACATTTGGAAAGAGTTGCATGATTAAATTGTTTTTGCCCCGTTAGCACAGAGCCACAGCAGAAGTTAGAAGTGAGGCGTGGAACTCGTGGAACTTGTTTTTTTATATTTAGTTAAAAGAATAGCAAGAAAACAAGCACGTTTTTTTCCCCCCCTATGACGTTGACTCAGTTACGCATTAAAATGTTCTCACTAATTAAGGGTTTTACCAGTCATGGACATCCATGATCGCTGAGGAACCAGGAGGTTATGAAAGGATCGTCTCACTGCAGCACTCCGAGGTCGCGCTCGCATCTCCTCTCATCTAATCACACTTCATACTTAGAAAAACACCCAAAGTCATTTCACAGTGACTGCTCTGACCGTCCCACTAGAGCTTCTCAAGGGAAATGAGATACACAACCTTTGGTAGCTTAAAATAGGATTTCTTTATTGAATCCATTCACAACAATGTATTATGGTTTGTGGCTGAAGAGCAAAAGCTTGTTTTCAATGTTTCACTGAAGTTGGGTACCAACTGAAAAAAGGACGTCCGTCATCACACGTCGATGCAATCGAGTTCCCAACAGCGCCGGCCTCTAAAAATCTCCACGCATTTCTGCAGTTGTGCTATGTTTGACATACAGGTGTGATTCTTTATCTAAAATAAACATTTAACTAGTCGACTACATCTTCATGTGCTTCTATCGCCACAGCTGATGGTGGAGGACAATGTCGCCGGCTGAGGCAGAACACTCTCATTCAGGGAGCCAGTTGGGTATTTACAACCTGTTGTAGTATGTAACTGTGTCCGGAGGTTAAGACCGGGTGATTTTTGGTTCGGTTTGGCATGTTCGGTCCTAAGGCATACTAAGTGGTGGGCTTGAGGAGTCCTGTTGCTTTTGGATCACAACGGCCTCACTTGAAAGACGTTAGCCTCCGAGGACTCTCGAGTGTTTGATGTCACGTCCGTGTGGCGGATGTCATTCCTGGTGATGATGAAGACAATGGAGGAGGAGCTGAAAGTCACCCTCTTCTTGGGCCGGACCCTGCCGCCGCCGCACGCCGCGGACACCACGATCGGTCGAATGGGGCGCTGAACCGGAGCCAGGGGGCGCTCTTTGAGGTTGCACTGCAAACACGTTACCCGCGAGCAGAGCAGCTGCATCAAACAGCGGCGGAACTGTGAACAGGTCAAACACACACATCGGTCTCCAAGGACACCCACCGGTACAAAGGTTATTAAACCTGGGACAACTATGATACTATGATGCAGATATTATTCACATTTTTAAATGGATCTTTTACAAATGCTCCTCTACGACAATAAAATAGATTAAAAATGTACTTTTCACGGAGCTACCGACCTTTCTGCTCATGAACACGCAGATGAGGGGGTTGTAGGCCGTGCTGGACTTGGCAAAGAACGAGGGGATGATGGCCACCGTGGGAGAGACCATGTTCTTCCTGCCGAAGGCCTCCATCATGGACACCACGGCGTAGGGCGTCCAGCACAACAAGAAGCAGGAGATCATCAGTAGGAACATAACGGCCACCTTCTTCTCGTATCGCAAGATCTTGATGATCTGAACCGTCTGGAGGTCCTGGATGGAGCGCAGCTATGTGAAATGGGGGAGATTGAGATGCCGTCATGAGAGGATGGTCTGTTTTGTGACCAGATCGTCTCTGGGCCTGTTGATCTGCACGGGCACGTGAAGATGGCTGGGATAGATGTTAGCATGTTGGCTTTTCCCAGTTGGGAACAACTGACCTCAATGACCTTCAACACAATGTGACCTTTTGCAGCTTTTGTTTTCAAATTTTTATTTCATTTTTTTACTGCCATATTCTGCCATACAAGTCTTGAAGAAGAACATATTATTCTATGAACACCTTTACTTTTGCTGTAAAGGGCATTTCAACGTGGGGTTCTATGCGGATTGACTCGCTTTTGGAGCCAGCCTCAGTTGGCATGAATTTTGGGACTTCTGTGTAAACATTTCTCAGCAAGGGGAGGACACATCCTAAACAAACATTACTGCTGTACAGGCACAGGGGAAAATGTCCTTTTTATCTTTGTAAATTGCACATTGTCTCACTACAATTGAGACCAGAGAGACACTGTGTCTCTGTTTGCATGTGTGGTTTACTATTGAGATCCCATATTGCCTTTGCTCAAACGCACGCTTTTGTGGGTAGAAGTAAGAATTATGGGATGATGCTGAGTGCGAAAATGCACTATAATAGTAGCATGAGTGAGGAAGAGTCATTCGGTGAATAAATTGCAATAGATCCCCACACTTACTGGTCATGACACACCAAATCTAGGTCGCAGCTTTGCATATTGAATTAGGAAACAATGCATTTCATTGATAATTTATCTGACTTTTTATTTGTGGGAGGGAGAAGTTCTATAGACGTTATATAGCATCACTTTCGATCATTCCTAAAATAAGCCTTAGCAGAACTGAGAGTCCTGACACCGAGAAGGTTTCTATCTAGGAGACCAGCGTCTGGTGACGGAATGCAGCTAAAGTGGGGAGCGTTTCCTAGACTCCCTCAAGACTTCTGACGGAATCACTGAATTTCAAATATTTGCTTTACAAGAAGCCAAAAATAATCTCTATGGTTCAGAGTACATCTCTTTGAAGATTGTCAGAACATCTCCTCTGAGGCTGTGAAGTATGAAATCCTCCCAAGACCTCTGAGGTGTAAACGTCCTACGAGGTACGAGGAAGAAGGAGAAGCAGAGATGGCTGCCGTACCAAACGGTCCGATTTGATTCATATTGCATATTTATTATGGCTTGCTTACTCTCCTGTGCAAAACACTGTACAGGCAAAATTCTCAAAGGTACAGACACTGTTTCTGTTTAGAGAATCTTGGTGCTGTCGAATTTCTATGAGACACACTTTCTATGTATTTTTTTCTTTTGCATGAATCATTCACAAAAATGCAAATTCTTAACTGTCATCCTCACAGGCTGATCACAATTCTTATTTTTCCAGGCTGTCTTCAGCGACAGCTAGAGGCCCCACAAGTATCAGTAGAGGTACAAGGAACAAAGAGCTTTCCGAGCCCGGAAGGCACAACAGCCTACTGTGATTTAAAAAAGCTCGTAATGAAAGAGGAGAGAAAGTCAGCACTTGGTCAGTGAAGTTTTAAAGAGTTTAAATGAATTCAAATGCACGATTTGTCACTTATTAAACTTAAAAAAGTTAAAATACTGAACCCTTCTAACAAAGGCCCGTGGGCTCGCTTAGAAGCCATCCTTACCGTGACGACACCAGTCACAGTGTGGATGATATAGTGACCTGGAGTTCAGTTGGAGTCTTGGACTGAATGAGCGGTACGTCATTTGTATAAACTGAAAGACACGTGCTACGGGGTTTGAAGGGGCAATCACTTAAAAGGAAACGTCCCGTCTCAACTGTTGTGACAACGGAGTGAAGACGAACATTGTTCATTTGCACACAACACACCAACCCGGTCTCACAGCAAAACATGTGATAGCTACGTTGTGGAACGTGGTATTCTCACGCTTTTCTCCCCAACACGATACTACGGTTTATTTTGGCCCATTCATTTACATTGCCTTGCAACTACGTCACTAGAAACTAATAAACGGAAGGTCTTCTACATTCTCTGATAGAACATTATGAAAATGTAACGCATACTTCTCGCTAGAAATGCCATAGAAATGCTGATGCATTTATAATAGATAATAGACCGACAGTCCGCCATTTCCTTTTTTTTTAGCTGAGGGGAAGTTGATAGTCACGTGACCTCGTTGCAAATCAAACGTTGCATTGTCACGCTTTCTCCCCAAAAGCCTGAGCACACCACGCTGGTCCACAGCGTAGCTATTACACGTTTGGCTGTGAGACTGGGTTGCAACACACACATTCCAAATAAGTCCGAAATGTTTCTCTTCAACGCAGTTTGATCGGCTGATGTCACAGACTTGCAAGGACCGCGCGGCTCGCCGGGTGTTCAAATGTGATCAGACATGTGGTCTGTCAGAGAACAATGACATGTAATGTAGAAGCAGTTCTCCACAGTAAAGAATTCAGGCATTTGAAATGTCCGTTTGGGTGGTCCACAGATGAATTAATGATGAGAAAATATGAAAGCAAGTAAATTGTCTGTTAGCTATGTGTTGACCTGAAATGAGAAATCAGTTCACATTGAGATGTCATCGTTTTAATTATACATATAACACATTTAACACTTCTGAAGGCTACATTGGTGATGACAAGCAGCTCAGAAAGATTCCCAGTTTTTAGTCCAACGATTTGGATCAGCGAACCAACATTTAGTCTATACGTTCTTCACTCTGTTTATTAGTACAGCTGATTCCTGATTTATCAAAAAAGGCGGACGACCTACCATTTGCACGGCGTAGAGGATGTTCCCATAGCAGTAGATCATGATGCCCACTGGCACAAAGAAGCAGGCCAGGAGGAAGAGGAGGATGAAGGAGGCGTCGTTGGGGTCCTTGGAGGCCCAGTCCAGAGAGCAGCCCAGCCGGTGGATCTCCAGCGTGTAGCGGTTCCACCCCAGCAAAGGAGCGCCCGTCCACACCAGGGAGTACAGCCAGATGTGGCCGATGGCCCGCCACGCCCAGGGGAAGTCCACCACCTGGGCGTGGACCACCCGGATGTAGCGCTCGTAGGCCAGGGACGCCAGAGTCATGATGGAGACGATGCCTGGCAGGACAGGGGGGGGAGGGGGAGCAGCGCGTTTGATGCCGATCAGCATATTTAAGCAGTCTTTTATGAATACCCCCCCCCCCCCCCCCCACACACACACACAGACCTCTGAGATCTGGGTTGCACAGGCTGCATTGATCCGGCGTCTGGTATTCAAATAGCAATAGCTTTTAGTCTTGTGTTTATCTTGTGCAACATTATGCTTCCGAGCTGCAACAGCCAGAGGACAGTTAACACACACGCATGCACACAAACACACTTCTATGCAATCACACACCCCAATGTACTTTTAGTCTAAATGTTTTTAAACTTTTAGGCCGTAATATCATCTCTGGATGTGTGTGGTGAAAGCATCAATTGACACGCACACTAATTACAAACACACCATGTATTTGGTGACTTGTTTCAGGTTGTGCATTCAGCTTCAGCCACAGCTACCCAGCTAGAGTTTCAGGCAGCGGGATAGATGTGCATGGACAGAGCTGCCAGGGGGTATTCTGTGTGTGTGTGTGGCACAATGACACCGGCCCCCTCTGAATAACACATAGGAGGAGGCAGATAGATAACCGCGTGTAGGTCTCCTGTGCGGATAAAGCTAAGGGATCTATTTGTTTATCAGGTGCCTTTGCGGAAGAATTTGCCTTTTTCCGGATTTGTGATCTTGCCATTGCATAACGACGTGACCTTGGGGTGGGCTTTCACATTTAGTAATGTCCCCATGTACACATTGACAACTTCTGTTCTGTCAATGACATGGGGGGTTCTAACAACGAGGTGTCACAACGATTTAGATCTCCGCCATCTTCTGAAATCTTGCCGAAAAGCCGACAGGCGCCACATCCCTTCAAGGCTCAATGTCATTTCAGCAATGAAGGGAGAAATCACAATAACACGAACACGCACGTCAACTTTTCATCTGGACGTAAACACCCGGTGTGCTGTTATGATTCGAAAATCTCATCCGTGGCAAACTTGCAATGCACAAAAAGTGCTGACATGACTGAGGCGGGAAAACGTTCCTTAGATCATGTGCAAGGAAGCCAATGTCAGTCGGAGGACAGTGGGGAGATGGAAGGTCACGGCCACGACCTTTAGTGCTCAGTTTGCTGATAAGCAGCAAAAAGCCTGAGGCTGTGCGGCTCTAATGAGCTCATTACAGCACATCCATCACCCCTGGATTCAGGGACCTGGCTGAACTCTGATGTTACAGTGAAGTGGAGGCTGTAATACTGGTGGCAGAATCTTTCCGCTGCATAAGGCAAAATGTGTCCCCTTAAAAAAGAAAACACAGTCAGAGAACATTTTAGTATCGTTTGATTTAACCGCAGCACATCACTGACACGAAGGTCAGTAAATTATATTTTAACCCTCCAAAAGCTGAGAGACAAAAGGTGCCACCATAAAAAGAAAATGTGTTCATCTGCCAGCTGCTCAAACATGTGTGTTATGAAAATGACTTCATGCGTTAAACATCGCTGTGTGCTGTGGGTGAGCTCATCTCTGCCTCCCAACTCTCACACCGCGTGTGCTCATTTTCCCAATCGGTCAGAATACTATTCATGCCCCGAAATAGGCATAAATAGATTTAATACATCCGTCTTCAACTATTTCACAAAAGAAAAGTTAACGCGACGACACTGACGGATAGAAACGAGGATCTCCTCGCGTGATCTCTCTCACCAAACAGGCTGTTGCTGAAGCCGTCCCAGATGCACGTCGCTCTGCTCCAAGTCCAACCGCCTCTGATGCACGAAACAAACGTGAAGTTTATCCCGATGACGGAAACCAGCAGATCACTCAAACTTATGTTGACCACCAGCAAATTGGTGGGCGTCCGCAGCCTCTTGAATTTGCAGTAGAGGACGATGACAACAACGTTGTTGCAAAAGCCGAACACCCCGATGGTCCCGATGGCGAAGGCGAGAAGTTTGTAGGTGCCGACGGCGAAGATGGAATGGTCCGTACTTCTCTCCTCTCTGGTGCCGTTGTCAGGATTCATTGCGCGGATACAAACTTGGTGCGTGTGCGGAGTGGTGGCTGCGCGCCTTGTGCACCGGACGCAGCCGCGGTGTCCGCGCCGCTCCTCCCCGCGCCGCCGATGCGGAGCGACCCGAGACTGCGGCTGCACAAACTATGTCAGTGCGCACGTTCGTGTGCGAATAGCGGGCAATAGTTTCTGAAACGGTGCTGGGAATAAATGCATAAGAGCATATCGGAAAGTGCGGTGAAAAACTGTAAATTGCATTTTATATTTCACACTTTTATTTTGAAAGTCTGATTGAAGTATCCAATTTTTTAATAGTTATTTTCCCTAAACAAAACGGTTCTCATTTTTTACGGGTGCAAAAAAACATACCGTAATGTCTTATTACGTCATTATGTCACTTTGCTTTTTACGGTAACCTCTGGCAACCACAGCTGCCAGTAATTTACCGCAGCCTATATTTCACGATTTTTTTTTACAGTGTAGATTAGCCTTCAACTTCACAAAGATCAGGAATGTGTATTATTCTAAATATTTGCACACCACACCAGACCTAACGACGTGAGCTCCAACATTTGAATGGAACTGTACTCCTGCCAGCGTCAAAGTGTTAATTACAATGTGAGATACAAGAAGGATGTCAACAAGAAAGGAGGCTCCAAGCAATGCAAAGTGCATTTACAGGCTCCAAAGTGCCGCAAAAGTAAATTGCCATCATTAAGGGGGGAGCCCGGCAGTGCTCAAGCCACTTCCCAACAACCCGTGTTTTGCATGCACTCATCATCAATGTAACCCAACAGCTCTGTGGTGCGTCCCCACCTTCGTTGACATTTGCAGGTGCTCTACTTCCTCCTGTTGCCTCGTCTTGTATCCGTTCACAAATGTCACCATGTTGTGATGCTGATCTCCTGCAGCGTTGTGGTTGGTCTGACCTCATTTCTCAGGGCCCACGGGTGGATTCGAAGTCTCAGAACTCAAATGACGCAAGGGATGCGGGCGGGTGCGTGTGTTGGGGGGTGTGCACGACAAACACACTCAAGGAAAGCTTGAATTATGCTGCAGTCGATTGCGTCCATGTGTTTAAAGGTATTAAACGTGATGTCATCCCAGCTCCCAGGATTGGTGTTATTTACTGGCACTTGTCGCCATACTAAGATGTGTCCTTATATACCAAGGGCGTTGAAAAAGTGCTGACCGCTGTAACCGCCGGGACGATGTCGTCACACTTCACATTGCTTTGACCTTTAAGTGTAAAGCTCGGTGTCAGTCAGGATGCATAGATGTGTCCCTCCGGCATCATCAGGATAACCCATTTGAAGATGTCTTGTGAATGAAACAGCTTCATTAAGACAGTGTTGATACCCAGTTCTCTGGAGGTGTCTCTCTTTCTGCAGCCTTTGGGGCTGACAAAATGAGTACTTCCACACGGAAACCTCCGATTGACTTTTCCTCCAGTCAGAGTTTCTAACTGCTCTGTCCAGGTGTTTATGAAGAGGGCACAGCTCACTGAAACTTAAAATGGGTCTTAATTATGATACGTTGATTTATATATTATTTTTTTAAAGGTAAATATTTTAAGATATATTTAAATGTTTGGCTGCCTCTGGCCTTACTCATCAAATATTCCAAATTCTAACTGAGGAAGACTTGCAGTGATGACCCCCGACTAATTTCAGCGCCCCGTCACACCTGAAGTGGTACAGTAGGAGCCTCCCAGCTTGCACCAGGACCACATTCACACCCCAATGCTTCTCTCAAATGACCATGTGCCTTATCATCCTCGTTCCCAGGGAGGGATTTATTAGACGGAATTTGTACTTGAAAGTTGAGGACAGCGGATGATGCACACTGAAAGTGCGCTTTTAGCTCTGCACATCTGCTTTCATCCTTTTAGCCGAAGCGCATGAACATGCCTGGTCTCTCCTTTGGATATAAGCGGTTTACTTTGATGGAGCTAAGTAGTTAATGTAAGAGAACATTTTTCCCTGAGGACGGTGATTGCCACAGACAATCTCACACTTGGTATTCAGTGATGGAGAAATCTATCATTACAAATCATCCTGCCTCCTCACTGACATTACAAAGGGTCATTGAGAATTCGCCAAAGAACCTCCGCTGTCTGTCGCAGGAATGTGTGACTCTCGCAGCGTCATTTGTCTTTGACATGAGAAAAAGACACATTTAAGGTTAATCCCCGGGTGAGATTAAATATAGATACAAACTAAATGAGCTAGAAGCTTAACCGGATAGCCATGTCTAATTTAAAAATGTCCTATAATGAGCCATACATTTTTGCTCCATGCAAAGGAAAGATGCACGGTTAGGATGGGTGAGACAATACCAGGAGCTTCCCTCAAATCGAGCTTAATCCTGCTGTTCTAATGTTTTACACAGCTGCTGCGATGGACAGAATTACACTAAGCACAGCGAGTCACAGGCCAGCGGCCTAATTCTGCCCGAAAGATACTTAATTATGATGTCACTTGAATTTAAGAAATAATCTTTTCACGGGATTCAGAGGGGCAGACTCTAGATTAACACGCTAACCTCGGTGCTGCATCTTAATTAAGTTATGAATAATTCATAATAGCAAGCCATTTCTTGCTGAGGAGGTAATTGGAAAAGATTGACATGTGCGCATGTTTCAATAAGCTTCATGTGACAAGTATTAACGTGCACATCAGAAGGTCATTGTTGGCACTGAGCCACAGAGGAGCAGTTGGGGTATTCGTGGATGCTTCAGATCAGGTGTCCTCCCCAGGAGGCTTCTCCCCTCCAGTGAGATAAGGAGCCTAAAAGGTTTGGTTGCCAGGCTGCTGTCTGCTAATGCACCAGGACCTACCTTTGCCTGTTTGCTAAAAAAAAAAGAAATCCGAATGAATGCTAATGTTCCACCATGATTAAATGGTGGCAGAGTCTCAAAAGTCTGTTTTAAGAAGTACACAAAGTGAAAAATGACTTCTCTACCACCTTCGATGGAGAAAATATGACTAATAAAGCTTCCACCACCTACTGTAAAATAAAGATCTTCCTTCTATCGCTGTCGTCTTTCACCAATCAGTTTTTTTAAGCACTGACCCTCCACAGTCCAAATGGGTTCGAAGTCAGTACAAAAATAAAATACACTCCTCCTCTGAGACTTCAGAGCTTCATTCCAAAACTGCTGCAGAGTAAGCCTCATATTTGCTCTCCGTGGCCACTCTGCCTGCTTGGCTTTCAGTGGCCTGCAGACTTTAAAAGCATCCACCACACACTCAGCTGTCTACTTTCTGTCTCCTTTCCTCCCCGCTGGTTGATCTCATGCCAGTCAATTGCTGCTTTCTAAAGCCGCCAAGAGAATCAGAATGTTTGGATTTAACTCTGGATAACTTTCCTGCAGCGGTCATCATTACATAAACTACCAGCGTTGCAGCTTTGCATCCAATGTGCTCACGATGAGTCGGAAACATGCACTGCAGGTAAGCGTCATTGTCAACTTGAATGTCCTTCACTGCCACAGTGCTGATTTGTAAGACTGGTGGTCCTCCACATTGCATTCATTCGATCAAGTGCATTTTATTATGATATGCAGCTCCTAAAGAATCGGTTGAAAACAAAACGTCATTTGCAAAATTCAAAAGCTGTAGATGTGGGTGGCTTGTATTAGCAGAGGCCAGCGATGTAAACGGTGCAGTTGGAGTCTGGGGGAGGCTCCCCTGAGACCTGGTGATGGCTGTCTGAAATACATTTTTTGCGATTTCACAATCAATTTGCATAACTAACGCCATTCCGATTTGGTACACATCCAGTCAGTCACATCAATACATAAAAACGAATACATTAGAAAGATTACTGAGGCATGCTGGTGGAGATGTTGGTCCGTTAGCATATACTTGCTTTGGTCCACGTGTTAAGTTTGAGGTGCTGGTTTGATGTTGCTCTACTCCAAACACACAGAGTTCCTCAAAACTTTAAGTACCTTTAAGTACTTTTAAACATAATTACTTGTTGTTTGCCTCTGTGGATAAGGCAAGGATCATATCAAGCAGCTTAGTCATAACCACATTTTCTGATCTTCTCCTGTCAACCTCTGTATACTTTGTCCTGGGCGACCAAGCAGAATATGAAAGAGCCCTCACATCACTTATCACTTATTTATAAATGCATGCTATGCCTCTGCAGATAGAGAGTTGTTATTCCTTTACTCAACGTTTAAGGGGAGGACAAGAAAAGATTCCCTGAAACCTTCTGCAAATTGTTATTGGTACCAGATTGGTAAATGTGAAACTCAATGTTTGTCAGTGTATATCAATACTTGCACCCGCGGTGCTCTTTGCTGATTCAATCAGCTCATTGACTTTGACTGTGTGGTGAGTCTGTGTGCGAATGCTGAATCAAACCAAAAAACGAAATACAAAATACAAAAAATACTAAAATGTGCGTGCATTATCAAACAGAAATGGCCTTTCCATCACTAGACATATTTTGGCTTATTGCATATGTCTCATTAACATCTATATACTTACTCCAAATAGTGGTTATATAACACTGAAAATCAATAAGTCTAGCATATTGCTAGCTGAAGGAAACGAGATCATAATGAAATGGATATTATTGTCTGATGGTTTTTGCATAGCTTCGATGCACACTAGGTCACTTCTAGCTTACATTACAAAAGACATTTGCAACCATTTATAACAGATGACAATCGTCGTAAATAACTTCCTTAACCTGGTGTTCCCTGACTACCTGCTCACACCCAACGACATCCCCCATGAAGTCATCCAGGTATTTTACTGCATGTTTTAAAGTTGTCACAATTCCTATACCTTCAAATCTTTTCGGCAGATCACTTGGGATTGCACTTCGTAAAGAGGCAACGGCATCTTTTCTGAGGCAGCACAGTGGTTGACCAACGCAGTAAAGTTCCCTCTAATGGACACCAGTCAGCCATGCGATACGATGGTGTTGCCGCTGTTGTGAGGTTGATTAGTGATGATGAAAAGAACCCTTCAGACCTGTACTCAGCAGACCCCCGCAGGGCCCGAAAACCGTGATAGTGATGCGTGTGGTGAAAGTAGGTAACAGAGTCAGCGCATGGTGACAGTTCGGAGGCCATCTGATCCTCTCTGGGCCGTCGTCTCTTACCAGCGAATCTGCACATTGTGACAACAGCCATGTCCCGGTCAGGTGCAAGGTCAACTGAGGTCATACGGTCATCTG